TCGAGGCACATTGAGAGTAATCTCTCCGATAGTTGGGGTACATTGAGAGTAATCTCTCCGATAGTCGAGGCACATTGAGAATAATATCTCCGATAGTCGGGGCACATTGAGAGTAATCTCTCCGGTAGTCGAGGCACATTGAGAATAATCTCTCTGATAGTAGAGCCACATTGAGAGTAATCTCTCCGATAGTCGGGGCACATTGAGAGTAATCGCTCTGATAGTCGCGCCACATTGAGAGTAATCTCTCCGATAGTCAAGCCACATTGAGAGTAATCTCTCCGATAGTCAAGCCACATTGAGAGTAATCTCTCCGATAGTCAAGCCACATTGAGAGTAATCTCTCCGATAGTCGAGTCATATTGAAAGTAATTTCTCCGATAATTGGACCATGATAGTAATTTCTCCAATATTCAGATCGTAATGAGTACCATAAGATTTCTTATTCATGCATGAATTATCTCGTTAAACAAGAACATATCCTTCTTGTTTGACTTTAAAAAAAAGGAAAAAAAGAAAAAAAAAAGTACAAAATAATAAAAGGAGAAAATTACCTTCGAGCACTGGCGCTTTCTCGTCAAAACACGAACTCAGAAGTGACTTGAGGATGCTGAAAATTGATGCTCATTAGGCATAACCGGTGGGGTGTATATAAGTTTGTCAAAAGCAGCTATGGAGAATGAATCCTCTATGTGGGACTCGGCTATTATGTAGTTATCTCCAAAGTAGAGCCAAAGTACGTGGCCAGTCCCCATAAAATTAGGCTAGCAGAGGCGGTCGATCATTAGTCATCTTCCGTATCCAACTAGAATTGGGGAAACACTATTGGTCGTGGTAAAGCTCCACTTCGCTAAGATTAACGTGTGTATACTGTTAGAACTTGAGACATGCAATAAATTACTAATATGTCTCCACAATTGTTGGTATACATGTTTCTTAACATCTGCTATGTTCACGTGGGAGGCATTGAAAAGTCCAAATCTCTTTAACTTTAACAATTTTTTGCTATTAGTTATGATGTCAATTGCTTCAGAACTTCACGTGAACGCGTTGTCCCTTGGAGTTTAACAGTGTTGTGAGGTTTATTTGACTCTACAAATGTATAAACCCCTATACTATTATTCAAACATGGATACTTCAAAGTTATGTCCTCTGAGTTCCGACCAGCCTACAATCCGACGAGCTTTAAAGTAGGGGACATTGGTAGGTATGTAAAAATTAATTAAATTTAAATTTAATAAATATTTTAAATTATATTTTAAATATATTAGTCCAAATAAATATTACGGGCTAATATAATTGGATTAATTATATAAATTTAATATATATAGCTTAAATAAATAATTCTTAATCAATTGGGCTAGCCCATTTAATTGGGCTAAAGTGATGAGCCCATTTCATTAAGCCCAAGATGTCATTTTCCTAGAGGCCCAGTTTGGTGCCACGTGTCATATGACGTGGCACGCCGAGTCAAGCAGAAGAACCAATAGGATCATGCCACGTGTCAAAATGACAAAGCATACCAAGTCACATTAAAAAGCTAATAAAATCGTGTCACGTGTGCAAGTGACATGGTTTGGCCAATCAAATACGGCTATGTCACACTTCAATTTGATTGGTCGCAAAGAGTTTGTTCTTATCATAACTTTTCCCTCCCACAACTATAAATAGGGGTCTTCATAACTCAGAAAAGACACCAAAAGTTATAACAAGAAGCAAGAGAGAGCTGGTGGATCAAACGCCGCAAATTTCTCTACAAGTTTCAAGCTTCAAGCAATCAAGTTCAAGTTCAAGAAATCAAGTTCAAGCTCAAGAACGAACAACAAGTCAAGATTCAAGGAGTACGAGTTCAACTCAAAGTTCGTGCTAGTTGAATTCAAGATCATCGTTTGTGGAAATAAATATAGATTCAAGATCAAGCTCAAAGGCCCTTGAATTTATTTACTATTGAAAAGAAGAATCAGAAGATTCATAGAGATTGTACACTCAAATATTTGAAGTCAAATACTATGATTGTTGCAATATTTTTCAGTCTCGATTATTTTCCTGACACAAATTTATTATCTACACTCATAAAGCTGAAATTTCAGGCTCCGCCTATGTGTGATATTACTATGTTTAACTACGTGATTATCTCATCTTAAGTAGTTAAAGAAATGCACTTTTCATTATATAATTTTATCCTCAACATCAACAGAAACAATAATGCTATTCATAGGTGGTGATACAAAAGCTTTCTAGGGTAATGCTATCATCAAAAGCGTAGTTAAATGGAGCGGGCATATCTTGGAAGAAATAGCTTTCATTTTATATTGGGAAAATGACTGTATTGTGTAGGTGCTCTTAAAATAATAGCCATTTTTTTTGTATATATATATATTTATGTAAGTTATATATAAAAAATATATAAATTTTATACATTTTTTTGTGGCTACTAAATATATATGAATTTGAACGCGGCTAAAAGTGATCTTTACCCATTTGTATTCTTGATGGCACTCCTAGTAAACTTGTTTATTGGGAAAGAATGTATAATTATGTATTTTAATAATGGGATATTTATGCAAATAGCCAACTAGTTTTACTATTTTACTTTTTTTAATCGGTATACATATTATACTATAATTATACATGAAATTGTACCCCTAAGCTGGGGAGGCCCAAACGCGCTAAAGGATTTGGAACTGATACATTATCATGTTACTAGCACCGGCTTTAGCTGAAATCTGTTGGAAGTCAATTATTCCAAATAAAAAAGTTTTGAATTCTCTTCTATAAGATCACAAAAGTTAACAAATTAAAATTCCTTTGGCAAATAATAAACAACTCATATGATTAATTTTAATTTAATTACCAGGCCAAGCAAAAAATACATTTTAAATAAGACCGAGAGAGAATATTTAGGACATCCACTATGACATTCCCTCCGGAGTCCTGACTCGCAAATTCCAATGTCAAATGGGCTGGCCCAGACCTAATTTGCCCCAAATATTTGTAGAAATGACACTAGATATCCACTTTATAGGGTCTTGAATTGTCCTAATTTCAGTTTACCAATTCAATTCTCATGTGTCTTGAATTGTCCAAAAATTAGTATTTTTAGTTTAAACTTTCAGAATAAAATAAATACTGGTTAATCCCTAAATAACAATCCTATTAATGGCCGTTTGTGTATTTCCCCCCAAAAATTTGAACCTTGGGCCAAAAGCAGAACAAGATCCATTAAGAATTAGGGATCTTTACACAAATAGCTGGCCATATTAATTATTTACTTTTTCTAACCAAATACACAGATTATATATTAATTATACACAATTATATACATATAATACATAAATTATGCATATATTATACCTCCATCGATTATTTTTAGTTTAAGTTATTAGACCGGCGGCTATTTGGGTTAATTCTTCTAAGAAAATTTTAAGGGGTCGTGCAAGTTCGCCCCGCTAATCGGAGTATGTGCGTCCGTTCTGGTAACCGGATGGAAGACGCAGTTGGACCAACCCGTTCAAGACAAAGCCAGGCCATTAAAATGTCCGAAATTATCTCTAGAAGTTTTTATATATTTATTTCTTGATAAGTTAAGTTTGTTAAAATATACTCAATTGAATAAGAAATTAAAAATAAAGAAAAATAAGAATAAGATAATGCTAGCTCACAATTTTAGCTAAACTTTATATTTCGCTTTTACTTGGGATTCTATTTTCCCAAGTTGTGTCATAAATAATGCAACATCATCTTTTAAATATTTGAGACATTATGAAGTAATATAATGCAGATGTTTACGCGGAAAAAAAAACATTTTAAGGTTAATATGGAGTAGCAGAAGAAATAAATGAATAAAGGGAGCTCAATTGGAGAATGATCATTTAACATTTACTATTAAATTGCTTTACTCATTGAACAACAGACAAAATCTCTTAAGACTTTCTTTGAGCTTCGTGTATGTAAATACCATCCCCTAGAGACATCTTCCTCCATAACCTGCAGTTTTGAACAAAGCTTGCTTGACGTCTTCGGACCTCAAAATTGTTCGATGCTCCGTTGCCTAACAAAATAAACGATGGAATCGACCAATTATTATATATTTATTGAGCGTTTGAAAAAGTACTTTAGATGACTTGGAAAAAAGTGAGCATTTGAAATTGATCATTGAAAAGAAATTGTGGGATTTAGTTTAATTTAGTATGGACGTAAATATTCACTTGAAAAAACAGGTTAGTTGAATATACAATATTTGAGTGGGAAACATTATATTTAAAGAAAATTAATTACTTAGTATGAGTAGTAAGATGTAGCAATTGACGAAGAACATGGTCAAAGTAAATGTTACTACCTCGGAACAAGAAGCTCGCATTGAAAAATCACTGAAACAGCTGACAACACATTGTTGCACGTCAAGACCTAATGCTTCTATTGTGCTTACTGTGGATAACACTAGTCCAGGCTTCGCTGCGCAACATATCTCTATCCTCGTCTCCTCATTTCTCCTTTCTACATCAAACTGTAATACAGTAGTAGTATTTTTTCCCCCCAACACACAACGGGAAAATAGTTAATATCATTAGAACAGTCATCACATCAATATTAAAAAGTATTCCGCCCTCTAGAAAGAGACGATTTTTCCAAACAATCTATAAAAAGATGTAATTTAATACAGTAAAAGTATTCTTTTGAGAATTAAGTGGACGAATATATATAGTGTGGCTAGTCGAGATAATTAAGATAAAATTTGTACCTTTGGAGGGTTTCTGACAAGTGCTTCATTAGGTTTTAGCTCTTTGTAATTTCCCAGTAATTTTCTATCCTTAGTTTCGTCTTCCATTTCATGATCTTCACGCAACCTGTGAATTTTATCTATGAGCTCCTTCATGTAATCAATTGTATCTCCAAGTATGGATGTTCTGTCCATCTGATAAAAAGTATATGAATTTACTCAATCAGCATATCTACACTACAACGAGAAACTATAATGTATAAAATTTTCTCCAATTATTAGGTGATTACATATAAATTTCTGAATAAAAATGATATAACTAATCTATTATCATACATTTTAAAATTCATTAATCATATTTACGAGTGTATATAATTTAAATTCTTATTTTAAATGAAGAGAATCTAAGGGTGATGATTTACCTTGCTTATTTTGGGAACAATGGATCTAAGCATGGAGAGACGGTCATTGAGTCGTTTTCTTCTCCTCCTTTCTGCCATTAGATTTTTAGAGGGCTGCCCCTCAACCTTCTTAACTCTAGTAGTAGTACTCTTCTTTTCTCCCATATTATTAGGAATATGACCAATATTAATTCTTGAAGTGGCTTCTTCCATTTTGACCTTGTTATTAAAACAGCTTGAATCTTGTCGAAGACCAATATGGCCATGAAAATCAGTAGAAATAAGGCCAACTCCTTCTCCTTCCTCCACAATGGCTCTATTACTGTACTCTTCTTGAATATAATTAGTTGAATCAACTTCAGCTGGGGCTGTAATAAAAGTATCAAGAAAAGGGTAAGATTCTTGGGGAGTGAAAGAAGGACATGGAAAGCTGGATTCTACAGGAGATATGAGCTCTAAAAGGGAAGAGTTTTGGGCTATAAATTCTGGGTTTTGTTGATAAAAGCTGGACGATTCAATGTTCCATGCATTTGGGAAGAATTCCTTCACTCCACTTGTAAAAGTGTTCCAACTTTCTATCCTCGGAGCCAGCAATTCCTCCAAAAAATCCTGTTGAGTGAGCTCCATCTTTCTCTTTCTCTCTCTCTCTCAAACGTCAAAAAGTGAATAGAGGGTTATAAGAACGTGATGTCGCATCTAGAGAGGGAACATATATAGACAAATAGTATTATATATTTTAGACTAGTCTTCTTATATTAATACTAATATTATTCCATCCGTTTTATTTTATTTTATATAGTGTGTTTGTATGCGATGATTGGGTCAAGATTTTGATTATGGGGGATCCAACAAAATATAAAGATGCCGCATCCAAGATATAAATGTGTCACCAGAATTTAACAATTTATATGTATCTATTTATATCTATCTATCTATATGTATATCTATATTATTATAAAAGTACGAATACGATATTGGTTGATCAAAATAGCCCTAAAATACATAAAACATTAGGTTATTTTGGTAAAAACAGGATAGAAATAGAGTTCTAATTATTAAGGGTGTACATAGGTCGGGTTGGTTCGGATTTTGCAATTACCAAACCAAACCAATTGTATCGGATTTTTAAATCTATAGACCAAACCAAACCAATAAAAGTCGAATTTTTCAATATCGAGTTTTCTCGGGTTTCTCGGATTTTTCGGGGTTTTTTCCTGATAAACTTATGCTCCAAATATTTCTAAAGTCCTAAATACAATTTTACCAATAACAACCATATTTTTATTTTTTAGCATTGACCTCAACTTTGCTAGTCAATAGGTTGTATGGTTCCACTTTATAAAGGTCTCTACTTTATAAATTATTTTTCACTTTACACTAAAATGCTAATAAAAGCTTAAAGCAATTGACATGTCCAACTTCAATTGAACCTTAGATAAATAATTAGAAAGAGCAGGTTAGAGTATCATGGACAAATCAATTGTTTTAAGTATTATAAAAAGTCTAATTTCTCCAACTGTCAAATCAACTGAACCTTAAAGAAATAATGTAATACAAAAGCTTCTTAATCGATTAAAAACCATGCACCAACTTTCTTTTAATTAATTACCTTAAAGTATTAAAGATTTCAAAAATAATCATGAAGCAAATTATAGTTAACTATCCCTCTAATCAATCCTCAAAGGTGAGCGTGCATATTCCGAAAGAAAAAAACAATTAACGTATTTAATATTAAATAATATAAAAAATAACTATACTCATTAACAATTGAATATAAATTATTACCTTCTTCAACTTGCTCAATTTTCTGGACTTCCTCTAACATGTCTTCAAACTTATATGCGTTGGAAATACATCAATGTAAGAAATAATGTAGGAAATACATCACTCTTAATTTTACATAGTCCATATTATTTAAACAAATGATTCAAAATATAAGTAAAAATATTTCAATATCTTTTTAAGTAACAGTCAATTACTCATGTTAATCATCTAAGAGAAATAAAATAAACAAATGAATTCGATAATAGGGAGGAATACAACAGATTTGCAAAAAAACTCGCTAATCGAAAAAAGAAAAATCTTAGTCAATTGGGAAAAAGCAAGGCGTATGTATGCAGTTAAAAGAAAACATGTAAAATGAGAAAGGGAAGAGCCTTACCGATGAGAGCAAAAGAGAATTGATAGGGTTTGATCTCCTTTGCTTTATTTTCTCTTTTTGAATGGACCAGATTATGGATTTTAAGGAGAGAGTCTAGAACTATCAGGTGAATTTTTTTTTAATCTGGTTTTATATTTCATTCTTCTAAAGCTCGAGTGATTTTGACTTTGGCACGGGCGATGTTGTGGAGGTTAATGAGTTTTTTGAAAAAGAAACTGGGTCATTTTTTGGGGATATTTTTAAAAAGTTTGGTTAATGGTAAGGGTAAATGTGACCAATAGTATAACGGAGGGAAGATGTGAGTAATATACCAAAGTAGAGAGGTATATTTGGCCCTTTTCCCTACTATATATTATCGTCATTGGCATAGGTCCTCACTCCTTATGTTTGTGATGATAATTGTGGTCTAGCTGGCATTATTTTTTTCCATTATGCAGTTAGGCTTTACCCGGCGAAAATTTCAATCTGTCATGTACTTCTTAAATTTACTTTTATCTTATTTTTTTTTATTTAGCATAGATTTAAATCTAATAACTAGCTTTAGATTGGTTAAATTGTGAAAATAATAGATTTGAATCAAATTTCAATATGAATTGCTTTCAGAGATGTCATCGATTACTACTAAAAATCTAACATTTTGAATGTAATAGTGATGATAAAAAATATCTATTATGAATTAGCTACAAATATGATGTCTTTAATACCTTCATAAAATATAAGTTGCATGAAATTTGCTTAGTTCACTATTAATCTAAGTATAATTATATTGTACACTTTTAATTTTATTCTCTTACTTTACATATTTCTCTTCTTCGTTGGAGTGCTACGTGTGAAACTCGTACATAGAAACTTGTATTATTATAAAAGCACGAATGTTAGGAAGCTAAATGTTGAGAGACGAAAATATCCCCGACAAATTGATCGATTTTTTTGCCCTTTAAAGTTAATATTTCCGTTTTATAGCAATTTAATGATGGGTATAAATATAATTTTGGATTAGGACTAAGTAGCCTTTTTCTGTTGGAACTCAATCTATTCTAAAATATAAAATTTTCCTTCAAAGTAACAATCCCATAATATGATAAAAGACTCCTTTATACCCATCCTAATGAGAATTTGATTTCTACTATTAAATACCAATTGCCTTTGAACTCTAAGAAATCAACCCGTTCAAACTAAAATAAAATAAGACAAAAAGTTTCTCCAAGCTATATTTATTACTCAATTTATAATTTAACCATAATAAGCACAAAACCTAATACGCTTGGCATAATCGCTATTTATTTATTTATTTTTAAAATTTAAAATGACAATATTTTACTTTAATAAAATTAAATTATAAAAACTGAGATCAAACACCGCAGGAATATAACTACGTTTAATTCAATCTTTGACATTATTGTCCATTTATTGCGATTAGTGTTTCTTTCGATCTTCTTATTATATATAAGTGAACAAATGCATGATAATATATAAAATTAATATTGGAGTGAAAGAAAGTCAAGAGAATCAAACAGTTATAATACATTGCAAATGATTCAAAATCAAATTTTGATGTATGAAATATATTTTACAAATCAAAATTTTGATTGTACAACTTTAGGACGTCATTTAAAACTTTGTGAACTATTTCTGAGAAAATATGAAATAAATATTTTAGAAAAAATAAATTTCTTTATTTTCATATTGCTCTAATTTTGTCTTATAATAGTCTTTTTGCATTAAAAAAAAGGAAATTATTTTGTTTTTGGTAATTAAATTTATTTTTATTAATCACCATGAAGAAATACATAACCATAGCTAAGCGATCACAACTTTTACCCAAATACATCTCACCTACTCAAATAGCATCCCTAACAGAAAGCTATTGCTAAAACATAAGTTGTTGTACTATGTTCCTAACTCCATGTGGAGCTCTAAGATTACAAATATAGGCAATTTCTCTAGCAATACTATCCAGTTTTTGCTTTTTTGTTCAAAGATTTTTTGGTTTCTTTCAATGTATATCACATGCACGCGTTCTGAAATTGATCTTTTTATATGTTATGTAGGAATATTACTTCTAGACTATTATGAGCAGATTATGTTCATTTTATTCTTTCTATAATACTATTTGTAACAACTATTTTTTATATCAAAAGGACAAAAAAGATGCCAACAATATAATAAAGTGTTGGTGCTAAATATTAGGAAGCAAAATTAGTTATCTGGAATGAAATACTTATGGGGAACCTTATATAAAATTCAACTTTTACCATAGAAAATAAATGATATACTCTTAAATTTGTCCGAAAATAATACATAGTCAAATATTTTCAAGTGTTGGACTATATTTGATGCAACATATTTTATTACATTGACTATTATATGTCGCATTTTCAAAAGGAATATCAATATCGACAATAAGAGTTTCAATCATAACAAGCAGCCAAAGTATCACAAGGGAACAAACACAAAAATATCGTATATAAAGAAGTATAAGGTAAGATACAATTATATTTTTTATCTCTATACTATTAATACATATATCATTTGCAGGTTCAAACGATGATGTCGAATTATTTTAAATTCAAGTATAATATAAGTGTAATAACATTTGAAGATTATTACATTTCCTTTCACATCAACTGTTGCATTCATATATATAATATTTTAGGTAAATTTAATTTTTGGTTCCTTAATATCTATAAATAATTACTTGAGAATTTACGTGAAAAGTATGAATGTCAAAATTTTAGCGATCAAAAATCAACGTGCAATTATTATCGTGCAACGCACGTTCATAGAAACTAGTATATACAAAAAATATCTTCTTTAATTTATACGTTATATTGTTTTAGCACATACGAAAAAATATTTAAATACTATGAAATATGAAAAAAAAAATACTACGAAATATTTTTAAAAATATAATTTTTTGAAATAAAAAGATCATATACAATGTTAGATAGCGCCTGTTTATAATATTTCGTTGTACCTTTAGGTATTTTTGTTTTGTGTAAATGTCACCCGGAGCATCTATCTATATC